GTTTTTTAAACACTTTTATATCCCTATCACTTTATTTCAACACTGTTGATATTTTTATATTGTTCTTCGAATAAGATAAAACTTGTATTTCAAAACCATTTATCTTAGAATCAATCCAGACTAGTCAAAGAAAAATACCTTCAAACTAAAAATAAGAAGTCTCACCATTTTGCACCCTCAGTGACACTAAACGAAATAACCGGGCCATAGAGGGTGTGTTAAAAAAGTAGGAATCGAACGAGGAGATGGAAACAAAAGAGAATTGATAGAGACGAGGTCACGTTGACCCAGGAGAACGTTGGTCCGTCTGGGGTTGGTTCATTGATGTGATTTGAAGTCATTGGAGAGATGGATAGACGCCGCTGGTAGAATTATGGGAGAGATGGATAGACGCCACTGGTAGATTTATGGGAGAGTTTAATAGACGCCACTGGTAGAGTTATAGGAGAGATGGATAGACGCCACTGGTAGAGTTATGGGAGAGATGGATAGACGCCACTGGTAGAGTTATGGGAGAGATGAATAGACGCCACTGGTAGAGTTATGGGAGAGGTCGATAGACGCCACTGGTAGAGTTATGGGAGAGGTCGATAGACGCCACTGGTAGAGTTATGGGAGAGTTTAATAGACGCCACTGGTAGAGTTATGGGAGAGATGGATAGACGCCACTGGTAGAGTTATGGGAGAGTTATATAGACGCCACTGGTAGAGTTATGGGAGAGATAGATAGACGCCACTGGTAGAGTTATGGGAGAGGTCGATAGACGCCACTGGTAGATTTATGGGAGAGTTTAATAGACGCCACTGGTAGAGTTATGGGAGAGATGGATAGACGCCACTGGTAGAGTTATGGGAGAGGTCGATAGACGCCACTGGTAGAGTTATGGGAGAGATGGATAGACGCCACTGGTAGAGTTATGGGAGAGGTCGATAGACGCCACTGGTAGATTTATGGGAGAGTTTAATAGACGCCACTGGTAGAGTTATGGGAGAGATGGATAGACGCCACTGGTAGAGTTATGGGAGAGGTCGATAGACGCCACTGGTAGATTTATGGGAGAGTTTAATAGACGCCACTGGTAGAGTTATAGGAGAGATGGATAGACGCCACTGGTAGAGTTATGGGAGAGTTATATAGACGCCACTGGTAGAGTTATGGGAGAGTTTAATAGACGCCACTGGTAGAGTTATGGGAGAGATAGATAGACGCCACTGGTAGAGTTATGGGAGAGTTTAATAGACGCCACTAGTAGAGTTATGGGAGAGATAGATAGACGCCACTGGTAGAGTTATGGGAGAGTTATATAGACGCCACTGGTAGAGTTATGGGAGAGTTATATAGACGCCACTGGTAGAGTTATGGGAGAGTTTAATAGACGCCACTGGTAGAGTTATGGGAGAGATAGATAGACGCCACTGGTAGAGTTATGGGAGAGTTTAATAGACGCCACTGGTAGAGTTATGGGAGAGATGGATAGACGCCACTGGTAGAGTTATGGGAGAGATAGATAGACGCCACTGGTAGAGTTATGGGAGAGTTGGATAGACGCCACTGGTAGAGTTATGGGAGAGATGGATAGACGCCACTAGCAGAGTTAAAGAAAAGTGGAATAAATTTGTAGTCATGTGAGAAGAGGATAGACTCCGATAGGAGTCATAGAATAGTGGGGTAGACGCCATTTGGGAGTCACATAACGGTGAGTGTCGTAGATGCCATTGGGAGTTAGAAGAGTGAGATAAATGTAGTTAGCAGAGTCATTTAAGAGAAAGATAGACGCAATTAGGAGTTATAAAAGAGTGGGTAAGACGCCATGAATAGAGTCAGATAAGATCTGTATTAAACACAGTTTGACGAGTCACAGCTAAAGATCTTGTGACAACAGCTATAGATCTTGTGACAACAGCTAAAGACCTTGTGACAACAGCTAAAGATCTTTTGACAACAGCTAAAGATCTTGTGACAACAGCTAAAGATCTTGTGACAACCGATAAAGATCTTGTGACAACAGCTAAAGATCTTGTGACAACAGCTAAAGATCTTGTGACAACAGCTAAAGATCTTGTGACAACAGCTAAAGTTCTTGTGACAACAGCTAAAGATCTTGTGACAACAGATAAAGATCTTGTGACAACAGCTAAAGATCTTGTGACAACAGATAAAGATCTTGTGACAACAGATAAAGATCTTGTGACAACAGCTAAAGATCTTGTGACAACAGATAAAGATCTTGTGACAACAGCTAAAGATCTTGTGACAACAGCTAAAGATCTTGTGACAACAGTTAAAGATCTTGTGACAACAGCTAAAGATCTTGTGACAACAGATAAAGATCTTGTGACAACAGCTAAAGATCTTGTGACAACAGATAAAGATCTTGTGACAACAGCTAAAGATCTTGTGACAACAGATAAAGATCTTGTGACAACAGATAAAGATCTTGTGACAACAGCTAAAGATCTTGTGACAACAGCTAAAGATCTTGTGACAACAGCTAATGATCTTGTGACAACAGCTAAAGATCTTGTGACAACAGATAAAGATCTTGTGACAACAGATAAAGATCTTGTGACAACAGCTAAAGATCTTGTGACAACAGCTAAAGATCTTGTGACAACAGCTAAAGATCTTGTGACAACAGCTAAAGATCTTGTGACAACAGCTAAAGATCTTGTGACAACAGATAAAGATCTTGTGACAACAGCTAAAATATCTTGTGACAACAGATAAAGATCTTGTGACAACAGCTAAAGATCTTGTGACAACAGATAAAGATCTTGTGACAACAGATAAAGATCTTGTGACAACAGCTAAAGATCTTGTGACGAAAGATAAAGATCTTGTGACAGCCGACCTGCGCGCAGGAGAATCGAGGGTGATTGTGTTAATGGGGAATTAATATTTGATGACGTGTAGACGGTATATAAATGTTCCTAGATGTAAGCTTTATAAATATGTTGTGACGGGTAAGGTGAGAAATTAATTAATGAGGTTTAAAAAATGAGGTGTGAGGGGGTGTGGTGGAAGGAGGGGTAGGGGAGGGAGGAGGAAGAGTATCGTCTTCATAGATGAGATGAAGAACTATGTAGGCCTAGGCTCTATATGTAGATAAAAAAATGAGATAGAGAAAGTACATCAAAGTTACCCTAAAAATAGAGAAACAATTAGAGATTGAAATTTTTTTTAAATGAAAAAAATAATTTGGTGGGTTGTGAGAGGAATGGTGGTGGGGGATGGGGTGGGGGGAATAGCAGAGTCTTTCTCAGGCATCTCTTCAATGGGGCACTACCAGGAGGTCCACCGACCTCTCCCCCACCCAAACGAAATAGAAAAGTGTTCATAATATATACTTTAACCAGTGTCCACCCCCCCTGGAGATAGTAGTTTGAAAGAAACACTAGGGGGGGGGGGAGGGGGAGTTATTTGTGAGGAGAGTAAGACAAGAGATTGTGAGAGATTCATTTATTACAAAGGGGTGGGGTATGGAGTGGTGAGGAGGTAAGTGATTCATTGAAAAAGTGAAGTCAACGAGAGGCGGGAACGCGAGGGTGGGAGAGGTGGGCGTATTTGGTCAAGTGATCAACAGAGAGGGATTTAGGGAGGAAATGAAAATCTTGACGAGGTTTTACACGCAAGAGTATGTAAACGTTAGACACAGCTCATTGTGTTATGGGAGGTACATGAGGAGATGGGGGGGGGGGGGGGGTGGCTCTTATAGCTCATTGTGTTGTCGGAGGTACATGGGGAGTTGGTGGGGGGGGGTCATTGTAAAATAGAGTTTAAATGTTGTATGGGCTATAAAGGTGTGGGAGAATGGTGTACTTTTACACAGAATTACACTTTGTTGTATGTTGTGGTTCAAATAAAGACAATTTGTTGTACATTCTGATGCAGATAATAACACTTTGTTTGATATTTGACACCGATTTAGTCCCCCACAAACTATTGTCGAGCTGTCGAGCTATTTGTGCAAGCACCAAACGTCCTCGGTTCAAACCTACAATAAACGTTTTCTGTAGATCCCACACTTTGAGAAACTTTGTTTGACCTGCCAGTATACTTCTTGTGAGAGTCACTGGCTTTGATAGTGTTGATCGGCGTGGTCAGCTCGGTTAAGCTCATGGTTGCTAAAGCGAAAAATCCCGAGTTCGAATCCCTGGCAGATTAGGCTTGTTAGCTGGGTACAGCAACGCATCTAGGAGAGACAACTCCAAAATGAAACATATGCTGCCTTGTAGTCTGTTCTTGGTTGGACAAAGGCTATGGAAGCAAATCCGAAAAGAAAAGCAGGTTGAAATCGTAGTCGACGGCCTATATGGCGCTTAACAAGTTGACACGTAATACTTTATTGTGTTGGACGTAGCCTACAATTTGAGAAGCACTGTATGAGGTGCCTGTATATTTCTTGTGAGAACCACTGGCTTCCAACAAATACACGATGTCACCTCCACTTTGAGAAGCACCGAATGACGTGCCTGTATATTTCTTGTGAGAACCACTGGCTTCCAGCAAGTACATGACGCCGCCTCCAGTTTGAGAAGCACCGAATGACGTGCCTGTATATTTCTTGTAAGAACCCCTGGCTTCCAACAAGTCCATGACGCCACCCCCAGTTTGAGAAGCACCGAATGACGTGTCTGTATATTTCTTGTGAGAACCACTGGCTTCCAACAAGTCCATGACGCCGCCTCCAGTTTGAGAAGCACCGAATGACGTGTCTGTATATTTCTTGTGAGAACCACTTACTTCCAACAAGTACATGACGCCACCTCCAGTTTGAGAAGCACCGAATGACGTGTCTGTATATTTCTTGTGAGAACCACTTACTTCCAACAAGTCCATGACGTCACCTCCAGTTTGAGAAGCACCGAATGACGTGTCTGTATATTTCTTGTGAGAACCACTTACTTCCAACAAGTCCATGACGCCGCCTCCAGTTTGAGAAGCACCGAATGACGTGTCTGTATATTTCTTGTGAGAACCACTTACTTCCAACAAGTAGATGGAGAGATGGATAGACGCCACTGGTAGAGTTATGGGAGAGGTCGATAGACGCCACTGGTAGATTTATGGGAGAGTTTAATAGACGCCACTGGTAGAGTTATGGGAGAGATGGATAGACGCCACTGGTAGAGTTATGGGAGAGGTCGATAGACGCCACTGGTAGATTTATGGGAGAGTTTAATAGACGCCACTGGTAGAGTTATAGGAGAGATGGATAGACGCCACTGGTAGAGTTATGGGAGAGTTATATAGACGCCACTGGTAGAGTTATGGGAGAGTTATATAGACGCCACTGGTAGAGTTATGGGAGAGATAGATAGACGCCACTGGTAGAGTTATGGGAGAGTTGGATAGACGCCACTGGTAGAGTTATGGGAGAGATGGATAGACGCCACTAGCAGAGTTAAAGAAAAGTGGAATAAATTTGTAGTCATGTGAGAAGAGGATAGACTCCGATAGGAGTCATAGAATAGTGGGGTAGACGCCATTTGGGAGTCACATAACGGTGAGTGTCGTAGATGCCATTGGGAGTTAGAAGAGTGAGATAAATGTAGTTAGCAGAGTCATTTAAGAGAAAGATAGACGCAATTAGGAGTTATAAAAGAGTGGGTAAGACGCCATGAATAGAGTCAGATAAGATCTGTATTAAACACAGTTTGACGAGTCACAGCTAAAGATCTTGTGACAACAGCTATAGATCTTGTGACAACAGCTAAAGACCTTGTGACAACAGCTAAAGATCTTGTGACAACAGCTAAAGATCTTGTGACAACAGCTAAAGATCTTGTGACAACAGCTAAAGATCTTGTGACAACCGATAAAGATCTTGTGACAACAGCTAAAGATCTTGTGACAACAGATAAAGATCTTGTGACAACAGCTAAAGTTCTTGTGACAACAGCTAAAGATCTTGTGACAACCGATAAAGATCTTGTGACAACAGCTAAAGATCTTGTGACAACAGCTAAAGATCTTGTGACAACAGCTAAAGATCTTGTGACAACAGATAAAGATCTTGTGACAACAGATAAAGATCTTGTGACAACAGCTAAAGATCTTGTGACAACAGATAAAGATCTTGTGACAACAGCTAAAGATCTTGTGACAACAGCTAAAGATCTTGTGACAACAGTTAAAGATCTTGTGACAACAGCTAAAGATCTTGTGACAACAGATAAAGATCTTGTGATAACAGCTAAAGATCTTGTGACAACAGATAAAGATCTTGTGACAACAGCTAAAGATCTTGTGACAACAGATAAAGATCTTGTGACAACAGATACAGATCTTGTGACAACAGCTAAAGATCTTGTGACAACAGCTAAAGATCTTGAGACAACAGCTAATGATCTTGTGACAACAGCTAAAGATCTTGTGACAACAGATAAAGATCTTGTGACAACAGATAAAGATCTTGTGACAACAGCTAAAGATCTTGTGACAACAGCTAAAGATCTTGTGACAACAGCCAAAGATCTTGTGACAACAGATAAAGATCTTGTGACAACAGCTAAAGATCTTGTGACAACAGCTAAAGATCTTGTGACAACAGATAAAGATCTTGTGACAACAGCTAAAATATCTTGTGACAACAGATAAAGATCTTGTGACAACAGCTAAAGATCTTGTGACAACAGATAAAGATCTTGTGACAACAGATAAAGATCTTGTGACAACAGCTAAAGATCTTGTGACAACAGCTAAAGATCTTGTGACAACAGATAAAGATCTTGTGACAACAGATAAAGATCTTGTGACAACAGCTACAGATCTTGTGACGAAAGATAAAGATCTTGTGACAGCCGACCTGCGCGCAGGAGAATCGAGGGTGATTGTGTTAATGGGGAATTAATATTTGATGACGTGTAGACGGTATATAAATGTTCCTAGATGTAAGCTTTATAAATATGTTGTGACGGGTAAGGTGAGAAATTAATTAATGAGGTTTAAAAAAATGAGGTGTGAGGGGGTGTGGTGGAAGGAGGGGTAGGGGAGGGAGGAGGAAGAGTATCGTCTTCATAGATGAGATGAAGAAATATGTAGGCCTAGGCTCTATATGTAAAGATAGAAAAATGAGATAGAGAAAGTACATCAAAGTTACCCTAAAAATAGAGAAACAATTAGAGATTGAAATTTTTTTAAATGAAAAAAATAATTTGGTGGGTTGTGAGAGGAATGGTGGTGAGGGATGGGGGTGGGGGGTGGGGGGAATAGCAGAGTCTTTCTCAGGCATCTCTTCAAGGGGCACTACCTCTTAAAGCAGGTCCAAACGAAATAGAAATGTATATTTTATGTACACAATATATACTAACCAGTGTCCAACCCCCCCCCCTGGAGAGAGTAGGGGGGGGGGGAGGGAGGGGGAAGTTATTTGTGAGGAGAGTAAAACAGGAGATTGAAAGAGATTTATTTAAAACAAAGGGGTGGGGTATGGAGGGGTGAGGAGGTAAGTGATTCATTGAAAAGTGAGTCAACGAGAGGAGGGAACGCGAGGGTGGGAGGGGTGGGCGTGGGTGAGTGATTGAGGAAGGAAATTAAAATTATCTTGACGAGGTTTTACACGCACAAAGTATGTAAAGGTTAGACACAGCTCGTTGTGTTGTGGGAGGTACATGGGGAGGTGTGTGTGGGGGGGGGGCTCAATGTAAAATGAAGTAAGAATGTCACATATGAGCTTGTATGGGCTATAAGGATGTGGGAGAACAATGTAAACACTGATAAGGACACTCTGTTTATTATTTTCACACAGATTTACAATTTGTTGTATATTGTAATTCAAATAATGACACTTTTTTGTATACTCTGAATAAGATATTGAAACTGTTGTAAATTGTGAATAAGATATTGAAACTGTGGTGTATATTTCATAGAAATTAAGACCCCCCCCCCCCCCTGAAACAGCTGTCGAGCTGCGAAGCTATTTGTAGCAGCACCAAACGTCCTCGGTTCAAACCTATAACAAGCGCGTTCCTTGTAACACACACTTTAACAAGCACGATGTGACGGGCCAGTATAGGGATGGCTGCTAAACTGAAAAGCCCCGAGTTCAAACCCCGTGCAGATGAGAATCAATAGCTGAGGAAAGCAACCCATTTTCGGGAGATAACTCCAAAATTAAACAATAACTGCGTTGTAGTTAGTTCTTGGAAGCCTAAATGGCGCATAACAAGTTGACACGTAATACCTAATTGTGTTGGACGAAATCCCTTCCAACATTACAATTAAGGATGAAGAAGAAAACTGGACAACCAGCAAGTACATGATGTAACCACTTTGAGAAACACCGAATGATGTGCCTGCATATTTCTTGTGAGAATCACTGGCTTCCAACAAGTAGAAATCGTAACCCCCAGTTTGAGAAGCACCGAATGACGTGCCTGTATATTTTTCCTGGCACCCAAGAGCTTCCAACAAGAACGTGACCAGGGTGTTGATGAATGGGCGTCTTTCGTCTATGTCTGAACGATCACTATATTCAGAGCAGGATGGTTTGAACAGAGAGAGAGAGTAAAAAAAACGTGTCTATTTTCGTTTAATGCGCACCCCACTCTTCCCTATGGTGGGTATCATACGACGAGGCGCATGCGCCGGATTGATTTGTGCGCATGACATAGTACGACATCCGGGTGTGTCTGGGTCGTGGTGACCTCGTCTTGAAAAAAAAACTTACCTGAAGATGTGACGTAATTTGTTTACATTACTTGAAGATGTGACATTTGTTAACATTACCTGAAGACGTGAAATTTCTTAACATTACCTAAAGACGTGACATTTGTTACCATTACCTGAAAACATGACATGTGTCAACATTACCTTAAGACGTGACATTTGTTAACATCACAACGCACAACACCTATGTACCTGTCCACTAAGGTAACCTTTACTGAACCCCTGGTCAATTATGTGTTTTGTTGAGTGTCAACAAAAAAATGTATTGTACGACAGGACCATTTCAAGCTATTGTTTTGCTGGTAACGCTTATCTCAACCTTAACCATTGGCCCTTATTTCGTGAATCGTCGAACGTGTGTTTGTTGTGTGTGTGTGCATATGTGCAAGCGTATGTGTTTTGTGCTTATGTGTTTTGTGCTTATGTGTTTTGTGCTTATGTGTTTTGTGCTTTTGTGTTTTGTGCTTATGTGTTTTGTGCGTATGTGTGTTATGCGTATGTGTGTTGTGCGTATGTGTGTTGTGCGTATGTGTGTTGTGCGTATGTGTGTTGTGCGTATGTGTGTTGTGCGTATGTGTGGTGTGCGTATGTGTGGTGTGCGTATGTGTGTTGTGCGTGTGTGGGTTGTGTGAGTGTGTGTGTGTGAAATTGGTTTTACCGTTATCGCTACCCCAACCCTTACCCTATCGTCAATCGTTAATTCAACCTTAACTCAAACCATAACGCTATCACGAATACAACACAAGCCTTGCCCTAAACATAACACAAACCCAAACGACCCTACCCAGTACAAAACAATCAACAAACTATCACAGAAATACCAAATCTAGTTCAGTCCGGTTATGTTTCACACATTCAGTTTTTTTTCAAGCTGCTAGTGTGATGTAGGCTAAAGCTCTCTGCTGATGGTAATTTATCTTGGCGGCGGAGAGTCCAAAATAAATCAATACAAGCAAGTTGTAAACAGCATCCCAGGATATAAAACGTAAGTCGTTGCATCTTTCGGTGCCAGAGGCGTCATATAGTACGCAGCAGTAAACCTATTCTAAAATTAACCCATTTTAAAATAAATCTACCCTATAGTAAACCTACCCTTGAGCGAAACTGCACTACAATAAACCTACCCTATAGTAAACCTACCCTACAGTAAACCTACCCTATAGTAAACCTACCCTTTAGCAAACATACCCTATAGTAAACCAACCCTTTAGCAAACCTACCCTATAGTAAACCTACCCTTTAGCAAACCTACCCTATAGTAAACCTACCCTTTAGCAAACATACCCTATAGTAAACCAACCCTTTAGCAAACCTACCCTATAGTAAACCTACCCTTTAGCAAACCTTCCCTTGATTGAAACTGCACGTACTACAGTGAAATGCACTATAGTAAACCTACCCTACAGTAAACCTACCCTACAGTAAACCTACCCTACAGTAAACCTACCCTACAGTAAACCTACCCTACAGTAAACCTACCTTTGAGTAAACCTACCTTTGAGTAAACCGACCTTTGAGTAAACCTACCTTTGAGTAAACCTACCCGCATGGGTCTGACCTATTTACTATGATGACATACAGCTGTCCACGTCAATTACGACAACCCTTGAGAGCTGAGTTTCTTTCAGGCATCTCTTAGTCTCTCCCCTCCCACCCCGCCCCTCACCTCCCGTCACCTCCGAACGAAGAATAAACTTTTCTAAAGAAATTAAAATGTATTAGTCCGTCTCCCCCCCCCCCCCCCCCGTCCCCAGAGAAAATAGTTTTAAAGAATCACTGCTGACGAGACTGTTTATTTTGATTTCATGTTTACAAGACACGAGAGTTTTAGAAACACTATGTTGGTTTGTATATAGGAAATCTCTTTAAATAAATCTCTTTTTAATAAAACTTTTTAATAGAATAGAATTTCATAGAAAAAAGAATTGCGCACCAAGCGAACGCCAAAACAAAATGTGCATAATAGTGCGCAATATTATTAGTACTTTATAAATTTACATGCGTTTTTTGAGAAATCGGAAATAGCGTAAATTAGTACTTCCGTTCAACGGAAATTACTAAAAATTTGACAGAAGGTAGAGAATTCAGTGAAATTTCATTTATCTATCTGAAATAGTACTAAAATTATAGGCTTTTGAAAAATTCAAAGTAGAAAATGTACCACTTCCGGTTATCGGAAATCGCTCAAAAGTTGGTACGGATCTACGATTTTGATAAAATACTTATATATGAAATTTCATCAACCTAGCTGTAACGGTACTCAAGTTATCATGTTTACAGACAGACAGACAGACAAACACACAGGCATACGGACAAGATTGCAAAATTATGTTTTTCCGTATCAGTGACGTGTAAAACGTCGAGATTTGTAAAAATCTCGATTTTTTTTTGCACGATTACAATACTTTCTCTATACTTCGTATATACGAGAAAATAAAAATCGGGCAATAGTCTCAATTACGCAAATTTTGCTTCTCTGAAACAAAAATCATGCCTATAGTCTCCCAACTACACCCTTTTAGCTTCAGCCTCTTTGTAACAAAAGTACCGAGAAAAATACACTTTATTTGAAAATTTTCGTATTAAAAAATTAAAGGGTATTACATTTAAAAGACATTTCAAATACTTAGACTTACGCTTTATAAATATAAGCAACAAATGCGTGTCTAAATAAATAATCAGAGTTTGCTGTAATCCTAAAATCGATAACTATACAACTTATTCGACAATTTACGATTTTATCGCGAAATGACACAAGTGCGAAAGAACTCAACGAATAGTGGGGGACCTCGAATATGTGAGAGTCGGTTGATAAATCAAGAGATGGGTCCTTGTTATATGTTATAACATATATTGTAACATATATTATAAAATATAATACTAATGCAACTAACGGAAGCGGGTAATGAAAAATAAATTTACGTCAATGC